ACAGCAATTGATCAGTTGTTTGAATTGTCATTTATCCAGCATAAAAAGCTGTATTTTCTCTGGTTGTAGCTTCTTAAATGTGAAAGTTTGCTGCTTCTCGCTGTTTCATATTATTGTGAATTGGATATTTTTAAGACTTCTGCTGTTGTTGGATAAAACAGTCTTTCAACACAAAACTGGGACTCTGGGAACTAATGATGGACATTTGTTCATTTTACAGACCAAACAATTAAGTAAAACTAGCATTAAACAGATTAATCAATATTGATTAAAGTTTGATGATTACTTTTGTCGGCAGATGGAGATGGGGGAGAGTAAAGGTGGCTCAGGTCTGCGGCAGTACTACTTGTCCAAGATAGAAGAGTTGCAGGTAAGAAAATCTTTCATCTGCAAACTTTCAGCCATTAATATGTCTTAGATTAGATTGCACAATAACCTCTGCTTGCCTCTCAATCCCGAACCCCTGTTTTCTCAACAGTTGACAGTAAATGACAAGAGCCAGAATCTCAGACGTCTGCAGGCACAGAGAAATGAGCTCAATGCCAAAGGTACACCGTTCTTCATCAGTCCAACATCTGTGTATTTTAAAATATGATTTAATTTTTCAAAGCTGTAAAATAACTACCATGGTTGAAAGTATTAAAGTTGTACTTTTTGTCTCTCAGTGCGTCTCCTTCGTGAGGAGCTCCAGTTACTACAGGAGCAGGGCTCCTACGTAGGAGAAGTGGTTAGGGTCATGGACAAAAAGAAAGTGCTGGTCAAGGTATGCTGTGTACTTGTACTTTGTACAATACTTTGTTTTGAGTAGCAGTTGACAGTTTAAATTAATATGTCTCCTCTTTATTTTCAGGTGCATCCGGAGGGAAAATTTGTCGTGGATGTGGACAAAAACATTGACATCAATGATGTTAGTATTGTAGTCATTGTCCTCTAAATAACGGTTGCCAATAGGTGCACTTGAATAGTTTTCCCTTTTGTTTTTTTACAATACAATACAATACAAAACAGACATGATGCTTTTCACTTGTAGCCACCATAGCACAAGACTGAATAGCAGATAGAGCAAGCCATATTTGCCCCCTGTACAGTCAGTCACTATGATAAGTGGGATTTCATGTCAGGAAACATTTAACCTTAAGTATTTTTTTTACCTTTTGTCATTTCTCCATTAGGTGACGCCCAATTGCCGCGTCGCTCTGCGTAACGACAGCTACACCCTGCACAAGATCCTGCCCAACAAGGTGGACCCTCTGGTATCGCTCATGATGGTGGAGAAGGTGCCCGACTCTACCTATGAAATGATTGGTGGCCTGGACAAGCAGATCAAGGAGATCAAGGAAGTGATTGAGCTGCCTGTCAAGCACCCAGAGCTGTTTGAGGCTTTGGGCATCGCACAGCCCAAGGTGGGTGGCTGACAAGAGCGCTGATAGCTGAACAATTACTTTTTGTACTGATTTTTAAAGGGGACATTCCTCTTTTCTCTTGTGTTATAAGAAGGTCAGAGATAAGTTCAGGTCTAAAAACAAAAGTATGCTCCTGAAGTTGATAGAGAGACATTTTAGCAAAGTGTATATGATTAAGAAAACAAACCATAGCCTATAGTTGCTTTGTATGCGCCCTTTTGTTTAATGACATTTTAAGATTAGTTAGAGGTTGCAGGTGTCTCTAAGAGCTGAGAATATTTTCCTGCAAAACCATTCAGAAAATGTCCAAACTATGTAAGCCAGCTAACATTAAAAGATTATACACCAAGTCATGGTGTTTGTTCACAGAAACTTACAGGTAGAAAACCCCCGTGTCACATACATAAAATCAAACAGCATTTAAACTGATAATGATTTTTTTTTCTGTGTTTAAAATACATTTTGCTGCAGCCCCCATCCACAGCAGTAGTAGCCTTCATGCAGCTAGATTTGGTTTAACAAAGATGTTAGCAAAGTAACACAGTGCGTAGAAGGGCACATAAGCACAGAGCAAGCATATAACCATAGATAAAAGCAATCAGTTATTGGATGGACTGAAAATCAGTCCGCAACTGCTTTGATAATTACACGTTTAAAATGTTTTTTGGGGTGTCGTGGCTTAGTGGATAGAGCAGGCACCCCATGTACAAGGCTGTTGCCACAGCGGCCCGGGTTCGACTCCAGCCTGTGGCCCTTTGCTACATGTCATTCCCCCCTTCACACTTATCTGTCCTATCGATTAAAGGCAAAAACATCTTTTTTTTAAAAAAAAATTTTTTTTTTAATGTTTTTCAAGCAAAAATGTTACATTTACAGGTTTCAAATGTGAGATTTTTTTTGCTTTCCTTGGTCTTAGATTATAGTTAATTTAATATTTTTGCTTCAGAAATGTCAATTGGACAAAACAAGACATCAAATGAAGTCACTTGAAGTCCAGTGTTTTTAGACCAAAGATTAATCGAGAAATAATCCATAGATTAATCTAAGTATTTGTTTTTTGTGTGCAGGGCGTGCTCCTGTACGGACCCCCAGGTACAGGGAAGACCCTGCTGGCCAGAGCTGTGGCTCACCACACTGACTGTACCTTCATCAGGGTGTCCGGCTCTGAGCTGGTCCAGAAGTTCATTGGAGAGGGTGAGCTCTTTTGTCTCATCTAAATGCTTTAATCAAATTAATTTCCACTCATGGCTCATCTGAAAAAACATTAAAAACCCTCTGTTTGTATAACCTTGATTTCTCCCTCTCTTGTGGCAGGTGCCCGTATGGTGCGTGAGCTTTTCGTCATGGCCAGAGAACACGCTCCCTCCATCATCTTCATGGACGAGATTGACTCCATCGGGTCGTCTCGCCTGGAGGGCGGCTCAGGTGGCGACAGCGAGGTGCAGAGGACAATGCTGGAGCTGCTCAATCAGCTGGACGGCTTCGAGGCCACCAAAAACATCAAGGTAACACACACACAAGTGTAAAAAATCCCTTTATTTTTTGTTGTTTGATCAAGAGATGTGATGTAAGATGTTTCGTATTTCATTTCATAGTTACTTGAAGTCTTATTAATTTGATTAAAATTGTCTCTCTGTCTCAGGTCATTATGGCCACCAACCGTATTGACATCCTGGACTCAGCTCTGCTCAGGCCAGGCAGGATCGACAGGAAGATTGAGTTCCCACCTCCAAATGAAGAGGTAGTCACTTGAGCAGTATAAACACACACGTATACATGCTTTGGAGGTGTTTGTTTTTAAGCATATGGTACGTCTGCACCGTTAGGCCCGTCTGGACATCCTGAAGATCCACTCCAGGAAGATGAACCTGACACGTGGCATTAATCTGAGGAAGATTGCAGAGCTGATGCCTGGAGCCTCTGGTGCTGAGGTCAAGGTGAGGATCAGCTCACTGAATGGTAGCAGCTGGGTGGTGAATGAAGGCGTTTTATTTAATTTTCTCGTCTGTGTATTTATAGGGTGTTTGCACAGAGGCAGGGATGTACGCTCTGAGGGAGAGGAGAGTTCACGTCACCCAGGAGGACTTTGAGATGGCTGTTGCAAAGGTTTGTGCAACTGTTCTCTTTTACAGTGTATCTTGGCTCAGATGTTTGTCCTATTTTCATAGCCTTGTCTTACACCACTGGCCCCGTATCTACCTTCAAGCTACAGTTGGTAACTTTCATAAAAATGTAGTATTTACTTAAATTGTCACTATATTCACACAGCACTAAATGAAACCGATTATCTGTGTAAAAATGTTCCCATGCCTATTCTTTTGCCTTGTATTGCTTCTAATGGCCTTACCGCACGTATAAAAACAACCAATCGGAGCTGAGGAGCCTCTAACGCAGCTGTCAATCATGTCAATCACTGCTCCTGAACTGCGGTCAAACTAAGCAGCGTTGATCAAATATGAATCAAGATTTTATGACTGCAAACATGTTTTAGTGTACTGTTTAGCTGTAAATGGGAGTTGAATGACCCAGCTACCATGTTGGATACAGTTTAATGGAGTACAAAGCACCGCCCACAAGCCAAACCAACTGTCTCATTTTATCATTTTACAGCTAAACAGTACACTAAAATATGTTTGATAACATCTGAGGTGAGAAATAGACAGTGCAGTAACAGAATCCTGATTCATATTTGATCATCGCTGCCTAATTAACAGTTTGACTACAGTGCATGAGCTATGATTGACATGATTGACAGCTGCATTAGAGACTCCTTGGCTCTGATTGGTTGTTGTTGACCATGCCGCGTTAGATTTTAGCAAATGGCATCAGAGACAGTAAGAAGAACATGAGTTTTTTTTCACAGACTATTTCATGTACTTCTTCCAGAATACAGTGAAAGTTTCAGCAAATACGATAATAAGTTTTCTTGAGTTACCAACTGTAGCTTTAAAGGAAAACTTCTCCCCACAAATAACCAGTTGTGTATCAGATTCTCACCGTGTTACATTGAATTCATGAGAAAAACTCTTTTCTTGGATGCCTCTGGTGAACGAAGATACCTTGATAAATTATTATAGTTATAGGGGGCTGCATTAACAGCAAAAATATATCAAAAACACTTTACAAACCTACATCTCGTGCAGTATAATCAGGCTTATTTATCATGTCGTCTGCTCAGGACTTCCCAAACACTACAACCGTACTATTTAAAACTGAACTGAGGTATTCTTTTAAATTCTCAGGTATATAAACATGGAGCTGAGGCTTATCCTCTACCTCTCACTTTTAATGTCAAGTTAAATTTTTATACTTGTATAATAAATGTTTCTACTAGTAGCCGCATATTAAGACTGTTTTCCTGTTGTCTTTACCAGGTGATGCAGAAAGACAGCGAGAAGAACATGTCCATCAAGAAGCTGTGGAAGTAACAGGCCTTGTGTACTCCTGCACACAATGCAAACACATATGTATATTTTCCTTTTGTTTATGGTTTGGTTTATAAATGTCATTCTAGAGTAAATGGTTTCCCCAAATACTGGATGGTGTATACGTTTTATTTCTCAGTCATTTATTCTCTTCAAACAACAGTGCCAAAGATTGAGTCAACACAATTCTCTTGTTTAATACAGACTTTTGTCAAAGCCAAGTCAGGTAACAGTAACATGAGTACAGTCTCCAGCGTGAGAAGATGTCTGCAGATTATTCTTTCATAATGCTCGATATGGCACTTCACATTATAGCTGCTATTACAGTAGATGTCTTACATAGTCAAAGGGAGTGCAGCTCTGTGACTACAGCTTGCTTTAGGAACGTACTTCCTACATGCATGTATTACATGTCTGTTAGAGCCATTTTTCACTGAGGAATCTAAAACAGAGAGGCTTGCTTGATGTTCAGACTGATGAAATAGCAGCTACTGACGTGACTCAGCCTACTATCACAAATCTGTACATGTGGAATGGTTAGTATGGCAGTAAACACTGGATGACTCCAACACACTGAGAAAACTCCAGAGGTCTCCTGCAGTTTAATCTGTCCTCCACATGCTGTGGTCCACTGATCCAACATGGAACAGTCGAGCTCATCGGGCTAGCTCCTCACCCAGGACACAGGCACCCACTGACGCTCCATCTGCACCCTTTCCAGTAGGACCTGGAGCTCAGCTAAGGCACTGACTGGGTCCTCCTTCACCAGGATATAGTCCACCCAAGGGCCGTAGCACTCGTCCATCCGCTCAGCTGACTGTTTAATTTCCTGTAGGTCATCCTCCTAGTGAGCACAAGGACAGAGGTGTTGGGTAATAAAATCCAGTCCTTCAAATTACAGTAATTTGTGCACAGCCTGCAGTAATTTAATCACCACCAGGGGGTGCTAAGAAAAGGCTGCATTTAAACTTTCATGATAAGTTGGTCATTTTTTTCAAGGTGTTTAAGTTTCAAGCAACTTACTGTGATCCCTGAGCTGAGTGAGGAAGAGGAGCCAAGTAGTTTCCTTTGACTGTCATAGATGCGAGGCCTTACGAAGATGACATATGGTTTGAACTCAGCAGTACGCAGAGTCTTCAGTGCCTGGACGTAAGGGGAAAACAATGCATATATATCAGCCATGAAATGTGTGTGTGCATATCAATAGTTTTCCCTGCTCCACCTCTCATTAAAGCTGTCAGTGTGATGAAAAAAGAAGTGCAATTTCACTGTGTTTGTGTCACATCAGTAAGGTTCTCTAGCAGCACCAGCACAGCTGTCAGTATGAGACTGTGTGAGACTTTATGACATACTGTACAATAAAATCTTTATGCCACACTATATTCTGATGTTTTATAATTACATGTTGATGGAATACTATACTATGACATTTGGATCACATTTTTGATGCCATACTATACTGAGATGTTTTTATCAAAATTGTAACGACATACATCCTATGACGTTTTGATCACATTTTTGATGACATACTATACTATGACGTTTTGATCACGTTTTTGATGACATACTATACTATGACGTTTTGATCACGTTTTTGATGACATACTATACTATGACGTTTTGATCATATTTTTGACGACATACTATACTATGACGTTTTTATCACGTTTTTGATGACATACTATACTATGACGTTTTTATCACGTTTTTGATGACATACTATATGACGTTTTTATCAAAATTTTTGACGACATACTATAGTATGACGTTTTGATCACATTTTTGATGACATACTATACTATGACGTTTTTATCAAAATTTTTGACAACATACTATACTATGACGTTTTGATCAAAATTTTTGACGACATACTATACTATGACGTTTTGATCACATTTTTGATGACATACTATAATATGACATTTTTATCAAAATTTTTGACAACATACTATACTATGACGTTTTTATCAAAATTTTTGACGACATACTATACTACGACGTTTTGATCACGTTTTTGACGACATACTATACTATGACGTTTTGATCACATTTTTGATGACATACTATACTACGACGTTTTGATCATATTTTTGACGACATACTATACTATGACAATTTGATCACATTTTTGACGACATACTATACTATGACATTTCGATCACATTTTTGATGACATACTATATACTATGATGTTTTGATCACATTTTTGATGACATACTATACTATGACATTTT